TCAGCGCCATTCCGTATATCGCAGTGTTGGATCGAGCATTTCAATCATCGGGCCAGTTTTATTCAGGATGGCATTCCTGTTAGAGATTCGGAAAATGTACCGCTCTGCCAACTGCACAGTGATTACGCTGCTGATGAGCGTGATTACGAAAATCATGATTATGATTATCACGAAAAAGAATTTGCGCGGAAGTCAAAATCTCAGCTCATTCAACTTCGCCTCGCTTGGGATGCTCTTCCGGACAGTCGACAAAAAGCTATACAACAGTTGCTTCGCACCAAACCTCAGCTGCAATGGGAAGCAGTGCCTGATTTGAGCTTTGATCAACAGAATCAGCAAATACCAGTTACAATATATCCCATTATAGTTCAGTGCTCCGTTGTAGTGGTAAGCTTTAAAAGTAGATAAATACCACGAAAACCAAAATCGCCGACAGATGGTTTGGGGATCCAATATTACATATGTTACTGGGGTTCTCCTGAAAACCAGATATAAACAGCGGTCCCAAATAACCAGTCAAATATTACGGATTTAAAAAAAAGTAAAGTATGGCTGCAAACAACAGTAGTTGGAGTTGCGGCTAGCTATCGGATATTACGCTTTTACTTTCTAATCCTAGTGGCGTAGTTGAATTAAAGGCTGGGTCAAGCTGCACCAGCTTATTTTCAGGTGACTTTCTGAGCCGAACTTTTTATTTTTTTTGCTCAACTTTTTTCACAGCGCAGCCATATTTCAGTGGCAGAGTTCGTGCGTTGTCGGATTTACTGGTGCATTTTGTTAACCAAAATTTTAATTTTTTGTACTTTCTAAAAATAACCCATTTTAATTTCAGCGGAGTCTTAGTGACAATGAATTTGGTCTACTGCTGTGCACACAAGCAATTTCAAAATTTTCTGTGTTTTAACTAATCATGATTTTCTATTTTCTTAATTTGTTATGCTTATTTTTTTCAAAATTTTTTCAGCCTAATCATACCTCACTGTCAGCAAGTTTTGGTCCAATTGGTGTATTTATTCCACAGTTTTATTTCTTAAAAAATGCATTATTCTCGTGCTGCCCAATTGAAACAACAATTGCTTATGCGCGATTACTTCAGCGTTCCGTCAAAACCAGAATAAATTGCTGGAAGGTAGTTTTTGTGTAAGAATTGAATTTAAAACTGGACCTATTCGCGGCCAAGATTTCCTGCAGAAGAACGGGGAACAGTGGATAGAAAAGCAACTAAAATAAGGCGTTTTTGGTAATTTTTAGAATATTTGAGATGTTTTCATTATTTATGTAATAAAAGTAAACGGCCATTCCGGGTGTCTTCGAAGAAGCGGCATAGATATATTGAACAGGCGGTGGGTTCCAGCTGGGGATGTACAGGCCCAAGTTCATTTGGTATAGCTACCCCTTGGTATATGGAAACATCTCAATGTGAAATATCAAAAAGATAGCCCAAGGAGTTTTGATATCTTTAGTATTTTAATAATGCCGGAGTTAGCTTTGTAAAGAGCATAGGGAGGTAGGGCATCGAGTAGTGGCTGCATTCATGTCTAAGGTCGAAAATTTGACTACGCCAACCAGCCCTCTACGATTCGTACATTCGCTTCGACGGTAAACTGGTACTGGCACATTCCAAGGGTTTGAAACCGCCATCAGTTTGCTTCTGGGAACTGAATCTTTTAGAAAGAGAGCCGTCAAGAACCCTATCAGCATTCTGTTAGCACTTGCTAGCCACAAAGTCCAGAAATGTGATCTGGAGCAGAAGGGCTAAGCATATTTCTGCCTAGCATGTAGGTTCCAAAAAAGTGTAGGATTTTCCGCATAATTTTGAGGAAATTGGGCAAAAAATAATAAGCCTTTTAATTTTCATTAAATTTTGAGGTTTTTATAGGGATTTTCAATGATGAAACAGCAGATAGTCAAAAATATCAAAATATCAAAAAGTTTCAGGTCTCCTTGACAAGTGCTTTGATCGTTTCGTTATCAGCATTTGCAATGGCTGTCTGCTGCACCGCATTAGCACTTCACGCAGCTCAGTACCAGAGATGACGAAGTCATCTAGTAAAACAATCTTTTTTTTGGTATTTTATGTGTTCTACGCCTTCTGTATGTTTTCAATATTCTCAAGCGATTGACAGGGCCGGCCTCATGCTTCTCGTCCAGGGCTTGTCGCATTTAAATCCATAATTTATAATACCGCACAGTTTGACTCTACAATATGTAATTGGTGCCACGCAACCAACGTACACTTTTCCCAGTCTTTACCAGCTTTTCACGGGTATCCACGAAAATCAGTGGCTTTGTTTTCAAGTACTACGTAGGCACAAGCAATTGGCTCTGACTGCACACGTACAAATCTAACGTCAAGACGAATGAAAGAACCGTAGAG